TATATATATATATATATATAAGGAATACATTAGTAAACTAATAAAGTTCTGTGTTGTTATATGTCGAGAGAATAAGAAGAAGACTCGTAAATAGTCAAATAGATATGCAGTGTTTTCTTGAAATACTTTTATCGGATAACGAGAGATTAATGTTTAAATTTAATTAAGGCACCTGTACAGCGTGATATTTTAGATGTAATATACAGAATAGTATACACATTTATTATTATCATCATCAATATATCCTTGATATATAAATAGAGTTCAACTTGTAGACTACATTGCACGCGATATTCATTTTGGTTATATAAAACATGGGTTATCTTACCTTAAGCGTACAGTTGTTATTGTGATTGACTGGTGGGTAAGCAGGATGACCTGGTAGATGGGGATGAGGATGTCCCGGATGGTGCGGATGGTCGGCCATCATACTACCGGCTCCATGATGATGTCCATTGGCACCCATGCCTTGGCCAGCTTGTAATGAGCCATAGGGAGTAGCTGGGTCCGTGGAAACTCCATGGGGTGGTGAATGTGGACTCGGGAGGTCCGGGGTTGTTGTGGTGCCTCCACCACCGCCACCACCACCTCCACCGCCTCCACCATTCGCTCCATAGCCGTGGTGAGGCCCACCGGGTCCTGTATGGTGTGGACTGCTTGACAAAGACGAGTGGTGGGGGTAGGCTGCGGGGTGGCCCGGGTGGTGGGGGTTCATACCAGCGGTTAGAGCGCTCGCCAGCTTGACCGATGAGAGGTGGGCCCAAGGAGCCCACCGACAGCTTGTCACGACAAAAAACAAAAGCTTTTGGGCCCTACCTCTCACTCTCTCACTATATCTTTCTCTTTTTATCTGTCTCTCACTTTTCCTTTTTTCTTTTGAACTTTTGTTTTATTATTTTATCTTGCTCCCGCCGCTAACCCCTTAGCGGACCTTACTGAGGTCCGACTATACGGAAACCGGTTCTCTTCTTCCGGTTCTCTTGGACTAACTGAAACAAGAAAGATGGTAGTCGTATTAGGAAAAATAGTAATATACTTTTCTTTTTTTTTAAAGTTTACTTTGCTTTCTATGTATAACGAGTTAACTTAATGAATTATTTCTTTTTATTATTTTTCTCTAACATAGTTATTAATTCGTATAGTATAAATCTTTGACCAATGGGAGATATTATATCGTGCCAACGCACCTATGTATATATATATATATATATCTACCGTTCAAGTTTAATTCCTTTTTTTTCCCCTATGGGTTTGTGCGATGGATCGTAGGCGTGTCAAGATCAAAGGCCTAATTTTCCGGCTGTTAATTTTGCGCTCGGATCAAAAACTCAAAACGAAAAAAGAAAGAAAAAAGAATCAAAAAAAAAAAAAGAAAAAACGAAAAAAAATAAAATAAAATAAAATAAAAGAAGAAAGAAACGAGAGAAAGCTTCTAAAACCATCGGTCAGTGTTAACGGCTGAACGCCCGTCTCTTTTTTCCCAATCAAATTCGACCGATCGCGATGATGGGGTTGTAGTTTGGAATTCGAATGGGGGCAGAGGCGGAGGCTGAGGTGGCGAGGGTGGTGGTAGGTGGTGGTTGAACTGAATATGTGGATCGAGGATATGGCTCGAGGGTTGAGTATAGTGTGGTTGGATGACGGAGTTCGAAAACGAAGCGTCGCATTGTCACGTCGACGAACAAAGCTCGTTCTAATTACTCTCCTTTATGATCTTTTCCGGCATACCCCCAGTCGAATTTCCTCGGCCAATGTGGCGGCTTCGGTCCCCGTATGCTTCTACTATTCTACTACTCTTACAGAAAATGATCGCGTTACCCTCGTTATCCTCGTTATCGTTCGCAGTGTAAGAGTAAGAGACCGTATAACCAAACCCACAAGAGCGAGCTTTTCTCTAACGAATTAACGAAATGATGATTCTTTTCGGTGTAGTACAGTTCAGTATTATCGGTTCGCGAAAAACAAAAAAACAAACAAAAAAAATACGTCGTTACATCTAGATTTGACTGAAATGAAATTACAGAAAGAAAAAAAAATGCCAACGTTGTGATAAGTTTTTGTTCTTTAATTTTGTCCACGTTATTATTCTGATTCTCACCCTGACGTACTTTTTTTGGATTAAGTTGGACCCTTTGATGATCAATTATCGGCTTCAAAAAATCATTCGAAGAAGAAATATTACAAATAATTGTTTGATCTTTAAGACAAACATCAAAACATTCTTTTATTATCCTGTAATTCACACATACACACACACACATTACTATACGTAATCATATTAATTCATAAAACTTAATACTGACGTAAATATGGTACAAAAATTTGTAAATACTTGTTCATTTTATATTTGTAGTTTACGAATGACTACAAATATATTTTTCTATAAACTGTTAACGATCAATTTTTACAGGTTAAAAGAATTATACCGGACAAAGCATCGTTAAGTCTTCGAAACGAAATGCAAACACATGGAAACTCCATGAAAAGCGGAATTACTCGGCAAGGGACGGACAAAAAGAAATAGAGTGTGTGTGAGAAAGAGAGGTAGGTAGACAGAGAGACAGAGAGAGAGAGAGAGAGAGAGAGAGAGAGAGAGATAAAGAAAAGTGAAAAGTATAGAGAAGAGGAAGAGGGTTGGAAAGGGCCATTAGAATTCTAAAAACGACCAGGTCCCTTCGTTAAGAAAGCGTGAAACCCGCGTGAATCCCTCTATGCGGACACGCCCAGTTTAATTAACAATAATCGTCCTTTTTTCCCCAGTAAACGCAGCGGGTCGTTCATTCGTTGTGTTGCGTATCGTCCGAAAACTTGTACGTGTCCTTTCCTTTAAGGATAACGAGCACCTTATTCTTCTTCTTCTTCTTCTTCATCTTCTTCTTCTTTCCTTGGTTTTTTCTCTCTTCCATATACCTTTTTTTCTTTCTTCCTTTTTTTCTTTTTTTCCTACCGACACCGGGGCTCTCTTTATTTCAAATGCCGTGTCAAAAAATACGAGCTATAACGGTTTTCTTCTTTTCTTTCTTACTCTCTTTCTCCTTTTCTTTCTTTATCTTTATCTTTGACTCTTAAGCTCTATATCTATCCATAACTCGAGAACGTACACACATACCACCTGACAGCTGCTGCTGCATCCAATTAAGCCTCGCAGCGTTATGCGCTAATTTCACTGTTAATTGTTAACCGTTCATTATTAATTACTCGTTCGCCTTATCGGAACATCTGCACGGGCAAGCTTCATTGGACGCCTTTTGCGTTGACAAGAGAGAGAGAGATAGAGAGAGAGAGAGAGAGAGAGAGAGAGGGATATAGAGAGAAAGAATGAGTGAGCAAAATAACATAGAAAGAAAGAGAAAAAGAATAAGAGCTTATTTTATTACTCGTAAATGAATGTATTACGTTGGTAGTTCTGCCGGTGATACAACGAAGATGGATATAGCAAGAAAATACCGGAATGGAGAAACAGAGATAGAAACTAAGGTAGGGTACGGGGCTGGTGAGTTAGGGGGAGGAAGGAGGGAGGTAGGGAGGGAGGGAGGAGGGAAGGCAAAGAGAAGGATATTAATTAGAGAGAGAAATGTATTTTCCGCGTATTAATACCTACCTGTTTTGTTCTTTGCGTCTGAATCATTACGCAGATTGCCGCGTAGCAACGATATTAATCCCGAAGTAGCGGATATTTCATATATAACGAGGCCATGTGCCTGAGCCCGTTATAACCTGTCGCGACGAGAGAACACACATACATTTATACATACACACACACGTCTTGCGATCTTGCGCAAAGTCCCTTTTCTTTCAGAAACCAAATGATGGATAATGATGGAACTTTTTCTCTTTTTCTCTTTTTCTTTTTTTTTACCTTTCTTTAAAATTTACACAATATCTACAATAGTAAAACAGTTAACCTAGTTAGTCTTTTAATTAGATTTTATCTGGATGCTATGTCGGGATTATATTAAATATACGATTTGAATGATGAATAATTCTTATGATATATATATATATGTATGTATAATTATCTTCAGTTGCCATCTTGAAACACTACGAGACTGTTACAAATGTATAACAACGGGATCTCTCTCTCTCTCTCTCTCTCTCTCTCTGGGTAGGAAGGATTAAATGAAAAGAATCTAACAGAATATATATATATATATATATATTGTACTAGAGAGAGAGAAAAAAAGAGCGAATAGAACAAAAAGTTATCCTTCACATCGACGCGACGATGTATACGACGATGTAAAAATAATAAAAACAAAAAAACACACACAGACGTACACGCACACAAAAAATATCCACGTAATATTCCAAAAAAAAAAAAAACCAACAAACAAACTGTACACTTAGAGAAGAGCTAGAAATTTAATTAGTTTTTAAACAACTTAAAAGATTATACGTTTTCATTGAAAAATATAAAAAAAAAACCAACAAAATAAAAAAGAAAAAAAAAAGTGCGTTTGTTCAACGAAACAGAGATATCTCTTAATCAGTTATCAATAAAATCCAATAAGAATTGGCGTTTCCTGGGTAAAAATTTCATACCTCGGACACGTTTATTGTTCGTCAATAGCACGATTGAAAAAGAAATAATATCCTAGAGAGAGAGAGAGAGAGAGAGAGAAAGAGAGAAAAGGGAAATAGATAGAGATATATAGAAAGATAGACAGAAATATAGGGAAAATAAAGGAAGATGAGAGAGAATTCAGCATGGATCCGAACAAATTTACGACCTATGACCCACCCTCGCACGAAAGCCCGCCCGCCGCTCGATTGCACGGGAATTTCGTGCGAGAGAGCTTTTGCGGAAGTGCGACGGTCGGGCGATAACAAGATGAAAACGAGGGGATACACCGGTAATTACTGAAATGATAATGACGAGGAGAACGACGACGACACTGTTTGCCCCCGTTTACCCCCGCTACCCTTTTCTGCCATCCTCTTCCTCGTCGTCGTAGTCGTCGTCGTCGTAGTCCTAGTCGTCGGCAACGATAGAGAAGGATAACGACACTAAAAGGAAGAAAATGAGAGAAAGAGAGAGAGAGAGAGAGAGAGTTAGTGAAAGAGGAGGTGAGTGGGGTGAAGATGAAAAGAGGACTAGAGAGAGAGAGAGGCAGAGAAAACGGGGGAGAAGGTGGGAGGGTGGGTGGTAGGAAGGGAGAGCACGATCGGCTGCGATAGGGATAATTAACGATCACAATCGTACGAAAATGAGAACGGGGCGAGTGCGACGGTGACGATAACGAGCGGTCCAGCGATCTTATTAGCGATAAGCGACGATAACGAGGGCGCCTCGTTCCATACGATAACGACGGCGTTCCGGTGCTTGTAACAGTTGGAAAGGAACTCCGTCTAAAGATTGATACCGACGGCCCGGAACTCGTTTTCGATGCTAAACGTTGCTCCTGCTGCTGCTGCTTCTGCTGCTGCTGGTGGTGGCTCGTCGTCTTCGACGACTTTGCTTCCCCACTGTCTCCTTCGAATTGCAATGTAATCTTTCCTTCTGCTTCTTCTTCTTCTTCTTCTTACTTATTTACTTCTACTTCATTTTTTTGATTTTTTATTTGTTTTTTCTTTCTTTTCTTTTCTCTCTTGTTCAACAACCGCACTTCATCGAAGAGTAAAAAGTGTTATTCTCTTCTTCCTATTAATTAGTCCAACGAATATGTGTATATATGTATATATACTTAATAAGAAGTACGATTGATTTAGATTTGATTCTTCGATTTGTTTCAATACGATACGAATCTTGATATGATCGAATGAATCAGGTGATACTTTTATCAAAATATATATATATATATACTTGTATTGATACTTTTGAGAGATAAACAACACAATGTATTTATTGTTCTAATGAAGAAAAAAAAAAAAGAGGTAAATTAAAATAAATACCATCGATAGAAATACTTTGGATATTTCTTTCTATTTATTAGTGTAATACATAGTTCTATTAATATCTTCATCTTGATAAAATAAATTATCGAAACAA